CACTTAAAACTCTTCTACTTAGATCAAATAGAGCCGACATATCTTGCCTTGCCCTATGCTTGCAAGGGCAAGACCGGTTGGTATCCAAGCAGATTCTGTGAGTAGTACTGTCCAGAAGTTTAAAAATATACTCAACGTCAGCCTCCCCATCGTCATTCGTTAAGTGAGCAGAGGCTTGCTCGTTTACAAATTGGGGCCCGTGCTGATCTAGCAACAGGTGGGGGCGCCCGAATAATTCTTCATTATCCTTGTAAGGTGCGCTCTGCAACCCCAACACAAGCGCGATCTCAGGTCGTCGGGTGACAGAGGTTGTTTAGTAAGGGAACCAAGGCGAATTTGGTGTGTTTCTGCCATAGCTATGTAAAAAAGGCTCTCTAGATTGTGGTTTAAATAACTGTACGGGCCTCCCACATAGAAATTCCCCACCAAACTTCGAGTACACACATGATACCCGGGATCTGCCTTCTGGAGCAGCTCTGGGTAGTTGGTGAGGATGTTGTTTTGAACAGGCATGGTGAAAGTTAATAATAATTTTTAACTTTTTGGAACGACACACACGAATCACTTGCAAACTACTGCGCACAAACAGCGAAAGCACAGACGCTACAACAGGAAGCAGGGGTGAAGTGGAGGGAGATGGGGAGCTTACAACCCGGCGCGAGCGCTAAGGGTTGATGCGCAACACTGTTGCCAGATTGGCCAAAAAGCCCCCATTCAACGACGTCATACTTGTTATAGTGGTTATTTTTAGAATCCCAAGTTACTTAAGTGACAAATTTGCACTCAACATGACTTGGATAAAACCAGGATAACAAAAACGCCGATACTTTATGATATCAATACAAATTAAACGTCCAAAATACAATAATTACGGGGAAGAGGTGGGACGTGCGTTTGCCTTTGGCTATATTTCTCTGTTTTGCTAGGTGTGTATCATTAATTTTCAGAAGGTTTTAAATGTATCTACCAGCAACAATTTTACAATGTTGAAGGAAAATGACCTGAAAACATAGTCAAAGTGGCACAAAAAGGGGAATGTTTGAGGTGGAAAGGGAATGCCCCATTTAAATTTGGCGGTCTCGTAGAACGGTAAGGTAGGAAACATAAAAACAAAAAACAAAGATGATTCGTCCCATTTTTCAAAATAGCCGGGATTACAATTACTTCCCGAACAATTGGCTTGTGACAGGGTACGCCATTTCAATAAATTTGATTTGCATCACTAATCTTTCGACTGCTTCTCCATGGCAGTAAAATTTTTAGGTACACCACCTGAAGCTGCTGCCCCTGATTTCTTAGCCTTGTGGCTACCATCCAAATTAAAGTATTTGGTCGTGCATTGAGTAGCAGTCATTCCTCCACCAACCTGTACGGCTACAGTACTCCAGAATTTGGCGGAACTAACCTTGTTCTTGGCCATTTCTGGAACAGCAATGTCCAGAAGCTTTGTGGTGAGAGGATCAGGCCAATGCGCTGGTTGCTGCTTACAATCTTAAGAGCTTTGAACAGGTAAAGGTTGAACTATAGGGTTGGATTGAGATGAATGAAGACCAACTTGGCACGGCATTATTATTCAAGGGGCAGGATGATGGTTAACTTCCCAGATGGCATGACTCTCTGCAGCTCATCAGCAGAGACAACCTTGCCCGCATCATTTGTCAACTGGAAAGATAGAAATCTGCAGATAAAGAGATACACAATGCAAATGAACAAAGCTTGCCAGGGCATGCTTCTTGTTCGATTGCAACAAAGATTTCGGTTTAGAGTTGTATATTGATATTCTCGATTTTATAAACAGAGAACGAATTATAATGCTGTTTTATCGTTACTGAAATAATATTGCACTATACGGCCGCTTTAAATATATGATTCAATCATACATTCATTCCATCCTAACCAGTCAAATTCGCAAATATCTTTTTGAACTTCCTTGTCATGACATTGCTTTCAAGGTCAACAGTGCCTTCAGGCAACGCTGAGCCCGACCAATTAGTGAGACTGCATAGTTCATCCACAGTAAGAATAGACATGGCACGATGAACAAAGCTAGAGAGCTTCTTCCCACCCATTTGAGTGAGATATTAGGTCTGCAGAAGTAAAAGAAAAAAAAGCCAAATTAATTTGACCGTATAAATTTTAAATGTTGCTGAAAGAACTAGGTATTTGTAAATAGTAATAGGTGAATTAAGAGACCTTACCATGTGTTCTGCTTTCTCCTTATCATGTCACTCCAGATTCCACCGTAAGCCTTTTCTGACCTAAAGACGGAAAACCACTCACTCGGCAGATTTCTCAAACTCAAAGGCAGTCATCTTTGCTTCAAGTTTCTGAATATCTTGCAGGTAAAGATGAACATCCTTTGCGTAATGGAGGTGGCCTGCGGCCGCCAGGTGGGGAAGCGTTTGACCAACACAATACAGATGGAGGCGCCAGTCCCCCGTCCTCTCCGCGCGGACAAATGTAGTCATAATCTCGATAATCTCTACCTGGTCGAAGTACTGCACCCAAAGGCCCCCCGTGCGGTTACTTACAGGTTCTGTTTTCAGACACTGTTTATGGCATACACTTCCTTCCACAGGTCGGTCAGGCCACTGCCGCCCATGAGCGCCCCGACCGCCCCCATGAAGGACATGAGCACGTGGGAGCCGCCCAAGCGGACAACGACAAACGGCAGCTTGCCGCGAAGCCGTTCACAATATCAATGGCCTTGAGAAAGAGTGGCAGGTCAAGGGTCACAACGCAGGTCTTCTGTTTGCAGTTGTCACACCTCTTTCTGGCGTACCGAAGGGCAGTATACAGCGCAGGGGGTTGGGACGCCGGCATGAGAATGAACGGAAGGGGTAGAAACGCCGACACGTCATGCTTCGGCTCGTTCGCACTATCAAATGTCATAACCCCATTCCACCTATGGTACGACTCTTATAGTGCATGTTTGTCCAGCCAGAGGAAGTCGAGACACCCCCCGTTTTCTAGCTGGGGCACTTCTCCCTGTCAGGCCTGATCGTCATCCATTACTAGATGTTTGAACCCTGCATTCTTCGCTGCGCAGTAGGGCTTAATTTCCATGACCCCCCTGTCTCCTATTTCAGCTGATGTGGCGGTTCTCTTATGGCGGGACACTGGCGCCCGGGCGTGCAGTTTGCTAGCCGGGGTCACAACCATGAGACCCGCGGTGACATGTAGGCTGTCGTAGGGATACCAAGTCGAACGCAAAAGTCGACTTTCGACTTAGATCGACTTCGAAAACCTCCGAGTCGACTTGGTCGACGTAGTCGAGACCACAAGTCGACTTTCGTCGACTTCGAAAGTCGACTTCCGTCGACTTTTTTTCGAAATTTGTTGATTGGTTTGTTTAAAACGCATTTTTGGTTTAAAGAGATGATGAATTAAAGTACATGAATTTGATTATTATTTATGGTAGCGATCCCACCAAAAATTTAAAGCGAAAGCTAAACATCAGTACTTGAGATTTTGAACTTATATTTGCTTCGAATAATAAAGAAAAAGTTTAATATTTTTTTTAAATAGCAGTAGTCTGTACTCAGTGATAAAACGTTTTGAAAACGTATCTGATATGAAGTTGACAGTCTGTGGATTATAAGGAAAGAAATAATGTGTTAGAGTATCGCATTACCACAAACCTATTTATTCTTACATATCTACAATGGCAAAAAAGTCGAAAAAAGCCACTCGGCTGTGAAAAATGAACAAAACCTTCATAAAACTAGTCTTTAGTCAGCTGGCTGAAAAAATACTTCACATCTAAACTTCTAAGGAACACTAGTTGATCAAAATGCTCCCCTGACAACCTGTTTCTAAGATTCGTATAAATCAGCCCGGCATGAGAGAATAGTCTCTCCGCCGGCACTGATGTTGCCAGAATAGGCAAAAACCTCTTCGCAATCGTGTACATGTGTACACGTGTAATCCTTGACCAAATTTTAAAACATTATCACAAAATATCACCGTATTGTCCAAATTTGATGGTTTTAGAGCCTGAAATTCAACAAAATTCACGTGTAATCACTCAAAATTCACGTGTAATCTCTGTAATGAGGTAATCCTGTGTACATCCTCAGTCGGTGTGGTGGCCCCCTCGACTAAAACTCACCTCATATATGGCAAGTGCGAGTGGGATGAACTTGCTCAGTGTGGGAGATTTTTCCCCAGAGATCTTCAAAGTTGCATCATTGAGGGGTTTGAGGAGGTCCCTCACCTCTGTCAAGGTCATCAAGTCAGTGTTGATTATCATGTTTGGTGGCGTTGACTTAGTTGACTTCTTTTTCGCACATTTCATCAGGGTCTCCGAAACGTTTGGTGACAGCTCGAGAAACCGATCGAGCATCTCATTGGTGGAGTTCCACGAGGTCCTCACCTCCTGGATTAGTTTCTTTCGCCTGTATTCCGGGACCCCGTCCTGGAGTCTCTCCAGATGCGCCGTGGCAACAGTGCTCGTCCTAAAACATGTAATAATCTTTTTCACTCGCTGGATTAGAACCGGCACTGTCTTAACACGGGCGTCATCTGGCAAGTCGTTCCCGGCGTCATTTGGAGGGACGTCCGCCGCTGCTGCCTCGGATGGTCGAAAGGAGTACAGGCCGATGGCGGCCTGGCCATCGCCGTTTAGGAGGTGAGAGAAGCAGCCGATGTGCTTCTTCTCGCCAAACACCTCCTTCACAGCTCCCACAATGTTGGCCCCACCGTCAGTCTGGTCAGTCACAACTCCGATTACGGCCTGAACATTTATGCCCCATTCAGAGAGCACGTCTTGAAGGGCCTTAAAAAGGTTGACGCTTGAGCATCTTTGCTTCAGAGGCTTTGCACACAGCTCTATAGAGATGATTTTCCTTTTCTGAAAACGTAAATATTGGGTTACGTTGGCTCCGAAAAAAACAAGCGTAACTCCGCCAGTGCCGGAGAACAAGAGTAACTGGCACAAGCGCGGAGAACTCTAGTAACGCCTGGCTATTTAGATAGGGAGTTACTCGAGTTCTCCGCGCTGCTGCCAGTTACTCTTGTTCTCCGGCACTGGCAGAGTTACGCTTGTTTTTTTCGGAGCCAACGTTTAGGCAACAAAAGTACACATTTCAAAGAAAATATTTTAAGTAGAATATCTTACTTTCTGGGAAATGCGCTGTTACTCCCAGGAATGATTTCATTGCCTGGGATGTCCATATATCGGCTGTCATTGTGAGGGATTCCATGACAGACAACTTTGCTGCAAACTTCTCCCGGAGCCTCTCATACGACATTTCAACTTCTTTGGTGACCATGCTCGAGCACGGCAGCTTGAAGTTCGGCTGCAGTGTGTGGCAGAAAGTTTGGAATCCCTCTCTCTGGGTCGTGGAGAGGGGCATATTGTCCTTTGCAATCATGAACACTAGAGCCTCCTTAGCTGCCGCGAAACTGGTACCTCCTTCTAAAAAAGCGTTAGAGTAAAATAAGAAATTAATAGATTTTCACCGAGGGAAGCCAGTAAACCAATAACTTACAATGCTGCTGGCTGGATTTTCCTTCAAGATGTTCGATGATTTTGCGCTAACTGCATTTGATGATTCCTTTGATTTTTGTTGCTTTGGCTGACCACCATCAGCGATTTTTCCATTGCTAGTGAAGCCCTGCTTACGCCTATTTGGCTGCCTGTTTTCATTCACCTATTAATGTATCAGTATTATTATTAGAATGTGCCTAATTTATGTAAATATCGACGTGTGTCTGCAGAAGTGTCGTATCTGAGAAGAGGCGCGCAACGCTGGCGGATCTGCGCCGGCCCGGCCATCCCGGGCGTATCTGGGAAGGGACGGTCATCAAAGGCGGATCTGCTTCTCGGCATCGTAGGTACACGGAAAAAAAAACCTCAGCT